CTGCACGAGGCCTCCAAGAGCTGCCCAGGACCCCCCCACGAAGTTTTGGGGGTGTCTTGGGGAGCCTGTGGGGAGCCTCCCGGGGCTTCCTGGCGGTTCCCTGGCCGCGCTTGGAGCCCTCGCGGCGGCCTCTGGGGGGCCTCTTGGGCTTCCGGGCCCCCCCGGGGGGGATGGCCTTCTCACCCAGACCACCCCCTGGGCCCCCCCCTCTAGGGACCCCCTGGGACCCGGTTCGGGCGGGTGGTAATGGTCAGACGATCGCAAAAATTGAGCGTGGATTAGCGACGGGCCCCGTTTCCATTGGACATCGCGAGTTTCCGCCGCCGAGCGATGCGGCACCGGCCGCATTTTTTGGGGGGCACCTCCCCCCCTCCTTGTTTGCGCGACCCCGAAATGGAGGGTGACCCAAACGGGGGGTGAAGAGAAATGACCTAAAGGGGCCCTTTTCTTTACCCCCCATGTGGGTCACCCCCCATTGCCACCCGCCCTACTGGTGGGGATGGGTTCAAAGGGAAGGGGCTTCCCCTTCGACTTACTTACCACGTGGCTTAATTTCGCTCAGGCTGTTCGCTGGCTGGCGCGCTTAGGGAGGAGGGCCCAGGGAAAAGGGGGGAGCGGCGACGGCGGCTACGACGACGACGCCGTCGACGACAACGACGACGAGTCAAACGAAACAGCCTCTCGGCACACGCTATCAGTGTCGGCGGATTCTGTTTCTCCTATCCCTCCTCATTCCGCACACCTCCGCCCCGTTGCCTTTCTTTCCCCGCGTCGCCTAGAGCCTAGATCCTCCGAGAGTCACCTGGAGCCCTCGCGACCCTCTCGTCAGCAGTGCAGCCGATGAAGCCAAATCTCCGCCTTGCCCTCGGCCCCATTCTCTTCCTCTCCCTCGGTCCTCGAGCGTGTGGCAGGTACTCTTCTTCCTGGCCACCTTCGCGCTTCTCTTCCACCGGTGGCAGAAGCGTCGGCAGCTGTCGATGCAAGCCTCGCAGCTGACCTGCATTCTTGGAGGGGAGGGCCCCCAGACCTGCGGAGCAGGACGGGGAGGCACAGAGTGAGGGCATGGGGAAGGATCGGATCGACTCGGCAGGAGGAAGCGTCGCCCCCCGCTTCTGGGGAGGCCAATAGCGTGGCGCCCAAGGCTCAAAGACAGCGGTGGCAGTATTTACATCCCGCCCTACGCGGGCCTCAACCATCACCCTGGCCGGTGGGCTCAAGATTTGAGCCCCCTTAAAACGTGCGAAGCAATCCCGTCCTCCGATACCCAATCCCCGTCCCGTCATCGCAGTACCTCATTGTGCAATCTCGGCGTCCGTGGCTGCCACAGGTGCCGACGGAGAGCTCGGTGATGAGTCGATAACCCTCGATGAGGAAGGAGGGATGAGGGAGGATGAGGGAGCTTCGAGATGCGAGTGCAGGGTGGGGGGGGGCGAGGAAGCACGGAGTCACCACCTGCCAAACCACCCCAACCCGACCCGAAGGCCCCAATTTTCCCTCCACTCCCACTGGGGGGGGGGGCGTCGGGGAACATTGAAACACCACACGTGTGGAACCCGTACTCCCCCCCCCCGAACCCGAGATGTAGGTCTTCGGGTGAGGTCGGGGTGGTCTAGTAGGCAGTCGAGGAGGAGGAGGAGGAGGAGGAGGAGGAGGAGGAGGAGGAGGAGGAGGAGGAGGAGGAGGTGGAGGAGGAGAGGAGGGGGAAGTGGAGGCGGAGGAGGAGGGGAGGAGGCGGAGGAGGAGGAGGAAGGAGGGAGCGAGGATGCGAGGAGCGAAGCGGAGGCGAGGAGGAGGAGGAGGAGGAGGAGGAGGAGGAGGAGGAGGAGGACGAGGCCGACGGACGGGGACGGCAACGAGGATGAGGTGAAGAGGAGGAGTGAGGGGCGGTGAGGAGGAGGAGGAGGAGGAGGCGAGGAGGAGGAGGAGGAAGAGGAGGACGAGGACGAGGACAAGGACGAGGAGGAGGAGGAGGAGGAGGAGGAGGAGGAGGAGGAGCCAGGATCCTGGAGCCAGGAGCCAGGAGCCAGGAGCCAGGAGGAGGAGGAGGCGGAGGAGGATTATATACGGGATTACGGGAGGGCAATCCTTTCAGATGTGGGAGCAGTCACGACTCAGGAAGCAAACACACCCTACACCTCCATGGACGGGTAGATGACAATGGCATAGAAGACAATAAGCAAACACACCGACACGATGCATCCCGCATTGGCGAACTAACAATGCCCCTCCAGCAAATTCCGCAAGGACAGTTGCGAGCTGCATGCTTCTTCCAACCACCAGCCAGAGAAGAAATTGAACACAGCACATAACGAACAATACAATGCCGAAATGCTGCACCAAAGCTTGCTTGCCATGTCCGCCACGCCGAACACCATGAGGCCGCGTACTCCAAGACGCGCAACGCACGCCACACCCACACGATGTGGCCCACGAGCACAAGCCGTGGCAGAACATGATAAAGAACTTCGCTCCGTGAGAAGACACACAACAACAGAAGACA